AAACTACCAGCTGTTCTGCAGGAGAAAGATGAGGCTTTCTGCTCCCGTAAAGATTTACAGCCTCGGAAACCCTGTGCAGGGTCGCTATGAGTCAGAACCGACTCCACGGCAGCACATAACAACAACATATGTATATACATATACATATGTTGTTGTATGTATGTGTGTATGTGTGTGTGTGTGTATACATACATACCCTACTGGTACTGTTTCTCTCCATTGGTTCTATTTCTCTGGAAAACACTAACTTATACAAATATATTAATCATACTTGTTTTCAGTTATTTAAAATTCCTTGTTAATAACCTGAAACTATACATTATTGTAAAGTAGATGCTGATGTAAGGTTTTTATTTTTGGTTTTATTTTTTGGCTTGGAAACGAATGCACTTTTGCTTCTGCTAGATCTTTAGTGTGGAGGACTATGTTATTCTGGTCAGGAATTGGTCTGAAATTGACGTTTGTTCTTACCATGGATACCCTCATTACACAAGAGGGTTCAGCTTTCTCCAGGAATACTTTGTATTTATGGTGGCACAATGGATAAGCCCGTCAGTGATAATCAAAAGGTCGGCAGTTCAAACTCACCAGCTCTGTGGCAAAACGATGTGACAGTCTGCTTCCATAAAGATTAAAGCCTTAGAAATCGTATGGGGTAGTTCCACTCTGTCCTATAGGGTCGTTATAAGTCAGAAAGGACTGAATGGCAATGATTTTTGGCCTTGTAGTGTTTCAATTTGGCCAGTTTCCCCAAATATGTACTACTCTTAGTTTGGGGGCTCCCTGTCTGTTTTGTGTTAGGTCTTCCCTTTGCTCTTCTTTCTAAAGAATCTGTATCTTTCAGTCTCCTAGCTGTTTTTCACTCTTATTTTTCTCTACATGTGTTGCTGTTATTAAGTACCATGGAGTCGGTTCTGACTCATATGATGGTCATATATTTTGGGAAGTGGGGTATTATTTGATGTTCTGATTCAACCTGTTTGAGGTAGACACTTCAGATGTAATCCTGGGCTTACTAAGTATTTTTTGCCTCTCTCCCAAGGATAGAGATTTACAGTTGCTGTTGTTATCCCCAACTGTCTGCATTGAGTTTTGACAAGTACCTTTAGTCTACAATTTTGTCACCTTTTTTCTTGTAGTTTAAGTGGTGATGTGTCTGGGCAGATGTCGGACAGTGGCTGCTACTTCCTTTCTGTAGCCAAGGATAGGTAGGAAACTTTCAAAGGATTCTTTTAGTCTTTCCTGGTGAGGAGTTTCCTGAAGGAAAGTCTTTCAAGAATGTGTGAACACCCTATGTCTACAACTTCCAGGGACTTTACATTCTCATGTTGTTCAGTCAGCATTCTGTAGTTCATTAAAACATTCTGGTTTAATTTTCTTATTGGCTTATATGACATTTGGTGGTATTTGCTGCTAAGCAAACACTTGTGTCCTGTTTTTCTCTACATTTCCATTTAGCTTGTTTCCTTTGAAACCTTAAGTCTCTGAAGAACTGAAGAAAAGCTATTCATTTGCAATTTGTATGTTATTTACTTGTAAGAATGGGAATGATGCTCTTTTCAGCTTTCCACACCTCTGAGCAGAAACCAGAACTTGAATCCTTTCATAACCTAGTTATTTTCTGTTTTGAATTTTTGTTGATACCAGGCGATTTCAGTAATGAAAGGTATGTTCAAATTAAGGAAAACAATATTTGAGGTAATAAGGATTTTGATACACTTATTTGGAATCCTCATGTGGTACTGAAGGATACTGTGCTGGACCACAAGGTCAGTTTGAGCCACAAGGTCGGCAGTTCAAACCCACCGGCTGCTCCTCAGAAATGCTATGAAGGGTTGCTTTGAGTTGGAACCAACTCGACAGCCTTTAATAACAATAATATGTCCCAAGTGGACTCTGGTGGTTGGCTTGATGGTGTGAGACCCATTTCTCAGGTTCACTCAGTTATACATGTAGTGGGATGTACTATACCTGGAATAGCAGCATCCCAAGAAACAAGTTGCTAAAAATATTGGTGGGCAATATATGTCACATGGGTCATGAAAGGGTTAACATGTGCCTTTTGAAAATGAAGTTTAAATTTTTATGAAATCCAATTTCTCAGTGTTTTTTTTTTTTTTTTTTTAATGAATTGTGCATTTGGAGTGGTAATTAAGATCTAACTCAAGGCCATAATAATTTTCTTTGATGTTTTCCTCTAGAAGCTTGTGTTAAGGTTTACATTTATGTACAGGACTTACTTTAAGTTAATTTTGAATATGGTACAAGGTATGCATTCAAGTTTACATTTTTACATAGATACTCAATTTTTCACAGTACCATTTGTTAAAAATATGATTTTTAGTTGTATAGATCATCTAAAGAATAGATGTGACACAATGAACACTAATGACAAAACATCATACATGAAGAAAGTGAAAGGTCATTAAAAAGATAGGAAAGAAAGAAAAGACCAAATGGATATCAGAAGAGACTCTGAAACATTCTTTCTAGCATAGAGATGCTAAAGCAAATAGAAGAAATTAGTAAAAATGCTGAACAGAAAACTTCAGAGTGATTTGAAGACAAAGTAAAGTATTATAATGGTATGTACAAAGACTTGGAATTAGAAATGAAAAGGGTAGAGCATGCTCAGCATTTCTCAAGATGAAAGTACTGAAGGAAAAGTCAAGCTTTGAGTTGTAATATTGAAGGATTTTATGAACAAAATATTGAATAACACAGTAAGTATCAAAATAAGATGGAAGAAACAGACAGTCACTGTACCAAAAAGCTTTTGCTAGCATTCAGCCATTTCAAGAGATAGCATGTGATCAGGAACCAAGGGTATTGAAAGAAGTCCAAGGTGCACTGAAAGCATTGGTGAAAAACAAGGTTCTAGGAATTGATAGAAACCAATTGAAATGAAAAAAAAAAATCCACGTAGCAGAGGATGCATGCCTCTGGGCATGTCTGAGAAGAGGTGTTCCTAACTGAAAAAATACATTCTGATCATGGCAAATTCTGAATTGTAACCTGATACCTCCCTAATAGACATCATGAGTCCTGTGTGTCTATTGCAACAAACTATCGAACCACACAGAGAAGTACAGAATGCTCGGGGAGGATGGTTGGTATCAGCATTGGTAAAGAATGTTTGGAGGATGGAGACATGTCTGACCTCCAACTCATAGGAATCAGCCTTGGGCTAATGTTGAGTTTGATGTTCTTCTCCCTTCTGAAGTCAGAGGTCAGATGTTCCCACTCTGTGCCACTTTTACAGGGAGATGAACTTATATTGGACTGTCCTATCCTGTATTTGAGGAAACAATCCATGTATTTCAGGCTCTCCAAGCCCCTGAAAGTGTATTGAACTTAAGACCACGGAAATCTCTACAAAATATCTAATTGTTTTAAGAAAATATATATGATTAAGATACCATTTTGAATATTTTATCTGTAATTCTTTCTTAGTTGTTGTTCTTATTAGCTGCCATTGAGTCAGCACCCAGTGTACAACGCGAATATCCCATTCACAACCAGATGGTATCATTTTGATACATAGGGCTTTCATTGGCTCATTTTTTTAAGTAGATCATCAGGCCTTTTCCCAAGTCTGTCTTAGTCTGGAAACTCCACTAAAACCTGTATATCGTCACATCAACACAGACATCTCCACTGACAGACAAGAGAGGAGAATTGACTGAGAACTAACCTCTGGTTTCCTACATGGAGGACAGAAATTATACCACTGAACCATCACTGCCCTCAATCTTTTTTAGAAGCCTTTGTAATAATCTTTGGAGTTTACTAGGATAAAACCAAATTCATTACTGTTTACTATGGCAAATAAGGGTTTTTCATAGTTCTTCTGAGACATGAAAATATGAGTCAAAAGTATCACTTTATTAGTGGACAATGATCTCCTTATTTTATTTTATTTTAGAACCAGAACCTGAAGACCCTGAAGACTTTTTACAAGGTGAAAAACCTGAAGAGGTAGAGGAAGAAGTTAAGAAAGATGAGGAAGAAGAACTTGAACTAGAAATAGGTGAACAACAATCAACAATACCAGCCAATTTGGAAAGACTTTGGTCATTTTCCTGTGACTTAACCAAAGGCCTAAATGTGAGCAGCCTTGCCTGGAATAAAACAAATCCAGTAAGCTATCAAAAAAAAAAAAAACTTTCTCTAGCATTTAAGGGTAACTGTCAAGCTTTAATGAAGAATTCTTTTTCCCCGATATTGGACAAGGGATGTAAACTAACCCCTGGTTTCAAACCTGGTTTATCTTCAACTGTCTCTTGGGCATCTTCAATATTTAGCTGTGTTTTCAATAATTAGATGAATGTATGTTGATTATTATTAAGTTTTCTGATTGTCTCCAGGTAGATGTGATCAGGAGATGGGCTTCCCTTTTCACTTTTCTTATTACTCAATTCAGAGTAACTGTAGCAGTTGTTGGCTGTTTATCTGGTGTATAGCAGCTGTTATTGTCTCTTGCCTGGATGGTGGGATTTTATAGGTGTGATCGTAGCTTGGGTATATGACCACAATTGCTATCTCTCCTTGGGTAACATAGGGAGAGAAAGTGGAACAAAAAAATCCCCCCCCCAAATAATACCACAGCAACAGAAAAAACAGATTGGATACTACAGTCTATAATCGGGGGTGGGGGGTTGTGGAACATAGTACATATGAGTATGATTTTAACGTCCCTCGCTCAGCTGGCTGGTCATTCTGGGAGACCATTATTTCATTTTAAGCAGTTCCTGTTGACCTCTCCCCTTTCTTAGATTCTCCATGCTGTGGTTTTTGCTGAGCAGATCCATGCATGTGTGTAGTGGAACCCTCTGGGGGGGGTGGGGTGGGGTGGGAGTGGGGCATCCACTTGCTTAGACACCCCTCTCGTCACCAGAGTGGAGGTGCGCAGATAGTGAGAGACCAATGAATAGAAAAAAATGTTCCCACCTTTATCTCCAATGATCGGTCAGACCTCTGCTGTGGGAGTGCTCCTCTGATCCTGTTGCTGCTCTGTCATGCCCAAGATGGCCGCTCCGGCACCTGCTGGCAGCTACAGATCAGAAAGCACCACTTTTTGTGCTTCTGATATAAATTTCACTAGCATTAAGCCTTTAATCCTTCTAAATATTTCTTTATATGTAGTTCAGAATTCCCTGAACCTGCTTCATCTGGTATTCTGTGTTATTTCTGTCAGAGGTCTACACCACGCTTTTCCCTAATCCACCATCCACAATATTCTTTTGACAATGAAGGTGATGCCGTTCCTCAATTCGTTACTATTGGCATAGTAAACCATGAGATTGTCTGATTCAAAATTGCCAATACTTGTCCATTTTAGCTCACTGTTGATGAAGGATATTGATTTTTATGGATTTCATTTCATTTTTGAGGACTTCCAATTTTCCTAGATTCATACTTCATACATTGCACATTCCAATTATAAATGGATGTTTCCAGATTTTTTTTTCTTATTTTGTGTCTTACCCCTTCAGTAAATGATATTCCAGACAGCTTTACTCCATTCATGTCATTAAAGCCAACTCTACTTTGAGAAGATAGCTCTTCCCAAATTGTATTTTGAGTGGCTTTCAACCTGAGGAGGGTCATATTCATGCTATATAATGCTCCATTGGTATCCATAAACTTTTCAGTGACTAACTCCTCAGAAGTGTACTGTCTATTCTTTCTTCCTCATCTATCTCTGTCTGGAAGCTCCACTGAAACTTGTGCACCATGGGTGACCCTGCTGATAGATGAAACAGGAGTGACATAGCTTCCAGTATCACAGCAACATGCAAACCACCACAGTCCAACAAACTAACAGATGAGTGATGGCTATTAAGAACTTGTTGCTGTTGATAAGGGCCTGTGAGTCAGTTCCAACTCATAGCGACTCTGTATATGGTTTCTGAGGAATGGCTGTTGGATTTGAACTGCCAACCTTTTGGTTAGCAGTCCAGTGCTTATCATACATCACCATACCGGGACTGTTACACACTAGAGATACTATAATACTTGAATTGTACATAGACCTTGTCCATATAATAATTTTCTAATTGCTTTGATAAGGAAAATAACTAATGCTGTTGAGTTCTTACTTAAAGGGGTTGATAGAGATGGGCAACTTAGACACTGACTACTTAAAATGGGGGGGGGTGTCTATAAAGGAACTCTGATAGCATAGTGGTTGTGAATCAGGCTGCTAACCTCAAGGTCAGAAGTTTGAAACTACCAGATGTTCTGCAGGAGAAAGATGAGGCTTTCTGCTTCTGTAAAGATTTACAGCTTCGGAAATACTGTGCAGGGTCACTATGAGTGGGAACTGACTCCATGGTACTTAACAACAACAATATAAAGGCACGAAGTGACTGGCTTACAAGTTTTCAAGAGGGAGTTCAGTTTCAGAGGGTGCCAGGGAAGGTAGAATCTCCACTGAGTGGTTTTCAACTGTCTAGATGGGGCTGGTGAAAGGAGATGGGGATCAGACTCCTGTGGTTCAATAGTGAGTAATTGTAATCATGACTGATTGGGATTGTTGTAAATGTAAAGGTTTTGTAGCTAAAGAGAGAAGTGGTTAATCTTGCAGCCCAGGAGTGGAGGACCCTAGGTCCATAAAAGGAGAAGAGTGGAGTGTGGGACTCTATTCAGAGAAGCAGTGATGCCAGAGATGGAGGAAGAGATAATAACATGGAGATATGGAGTGGCTGGGGACTCTAGACTCATGGAGGGAGAGAGGCTGTATGGCAGTGGCTGGTGTGGGGCAGGGGCAGGCTTGCAGTGTATGCCCTTTGGGTGTTTGAATGATTGCATATTCCTAAGTGTTTTGGTGTACATTAAAAAAAAACAAAAAACAAAAAAAACCCAGAGGGAATAGAAGCAAATACTGTTTAATGATGATGCATGAAGAGGATTGTAATCATTGCAATGAAATGAAATATAATAGGATGAGTGTAAAGCTGATGATGTTCTCCCATGTAAACTCACTCAATTGACAATAAAAAACTTCCAAAAAATGTTCTTAAAGACTTCTTAGAGGAAGTGGTGCCCATGCCAAGTTTAGAAGAGAAGAACAGGAGTTTGTTAATGTTAGGGTAGAAAAACTAGTGGTAAAGAATGTTTTAAGACAGAGGGAATGGCTGAGAAATGGTATTGGTGTAAAAGTAGGGTGGAAGCAAGAAAATATATTACTTTTTGTATAGATGTTCTGATTAGAAAATAGAGGCTGGGTTTGGTCAATGCTTAAACTTTTGTCTTTAAGTTGTTGTTGTGAAGTGCTGCTGAGTCAGTTCCAACTCATAGTGACCCTGTAAAGGGTTTTTGATGAGCAGCTGGTGAGTTTGAACCACTGACCTTGCAGTTCAAATCAACCTTGCGGTCCAGTGCATTACCACACAATGCAACACCAGGACTCCTGTTTATATGTGCTCATACTTATACATGTTGTTGTTGTTGCTATGTGCCATGGAGTCGATTCCAACTCATCGCGACCCTGTACAGGGTTTCTGAGGCTGTAAATCGTTACGGGAGCAGAAAGCCTCCTCTTTCTCCTGCGGAACAGCTGGTAGTTTCGAACTGATGACCTTGCAATTTGCAGCCCAATTCGTAACCACTATGCTACCAGAGCTCCTTCATACTTATACATACATTTTTTGAAATGACTTACCTTTAACTTGTTAAACACTGTTGAGTCAGTTCCAACTCAAGCAACCCTGTATAGGGCTTCCATGGGAATGGCTAGTGAGTTTGAACTACTGACCTTGTGGTTCAAACTGACCTAGTGGTCCAGTGCTTTATCCCACAGCATCACACCAGAATTCCTTTAACTTAAGTGCCTCTTATTTTACTTCAAAATGATTGTTTTAAGTGCTATGAGTCAGTACCAACTTATAGTGACCCTGGATAGGGTTTTCAGTAAATAGCTGGTGGCATTGATCCACCAACCTTGCAGTTAGTAATTCAGTGTTTATCCTATAGTGCCATACTAGGAATGATTAGGTTATCCTAAAAACCCATGTTGTCTTAATACAATCTTGGGAAATTAACTCAACATGTTGGAAGAACTTTTAACAATTGATTCTTTTTAGGTATTTATTCTTCAATCTGAAAAAGTGAGAGGCATTATATTGATTAATGTTTTGTGTTTAGGAAGATGGACTGTAGGGCAAAAGTAGATGCTATATATACTGTTATGTTTTCCTCTTAAACGAATATTACAACACAGTTCATCAGTATGGAACTTTATACATTTTCCAACATTTTTATGCTATTTTCTCTTATTTATTTATTTAATATTCAGGACATTCTGGCTGTTGGCTATGGTCACTTTGGATTTAAAGAGCAAAAAAGAGGATTAGCTTGCTGCTGGTCTCTAAAGAATCCCATGGTAATTAAAAAAAATTTTTTTTAAATTTATTAAATGTTTAAATATTGTTATAATTTTCATAAATTATATAATTGTATGTGATAAATTGAAATCAAGAGAATTTTTATCAATTAAGATTTTTGTTCTTTATTTTCTTTGTCTTATACTCATAACAATTATAATTTAGTCTTGATATATAGTAAATGAAATTCATTCACAATTTCATTCAATGAATACTAAGTTTTTACTCTGTGCTGTTAGATCTCATTATGTGGAAATGAAGTATTATTGATAATCACAGATAATTATAAAGAATAATACATTTTCAAATGAAAATCCTTTGAAATTTACATGTGTGTTTTACTGCTGGGTTCTTACTCTGCAATCTTCAGTAGATAGAGAATAGATTAATATAATTTTCTTAATGTGATGCATTTTCAAAGAAAATGATAAGAATTACAGTCATCTTTTCTGCTAAATAGTAACAGTACCATTCCAGTTCTGGATGTTGCTTGTTGCAAATATCTTCATGTCGGTTCTGACTTACAGTGACCCTATATAGGGTTTCCAAGGTGCAGCTGGTGAGAATTAAAAAAAAATTTTTTTCATACTTTTTTTTTAGAGAGAAGTACAAATTTACTTTAATATTAGTTTTGAGTGAGTGTTTATATTGTTGTTGAGAACAATACCATTATTTTATAAATGCAGGGGGACTTTAATAAATTGGTGGGAAAATGAGTATATCTATTACTTTCCAGTATTACATTTAATTTTATTTAGTTTTAGTTTTCATCCACAACTAAATGTAAAGTAGAAAACAGAGATGGGCCAGAATAGCGCATAAAAATTATTAATTGTTTTTTATAAATAGCTCCCATCTGTTAGGAAATTGGGTTTATATCACAAGAAAGAAAGGAAGAAGCAATTTTTAATATGTGTAAGTACTGACATTGGATTCATCATCAATAGCTTGTCTCCTTACCCCACGTAGGTGGTTAGAAACAGGCAAGAATTTACATTAGTAATTAAAAGTAAGCACACACACACTCTTGACAGAGTTAAACAGAGTATCTTAGAGATTTCTGGAGCACCTTCTACACATAGTTAGAAAAGATTACATAATCCAAATATCTGAAACAGATACTAGAAGGCAGTCATCTACTCTATGATTTGTTTTGGGGTCCATTATTCGTTTCTAAAAACAGGTAGACCTTCTTTTAACAAAATATGCTAATTATAGAAGTCTATGCTTTATTTATTAGAGATGTTTAGCTCTGAAAGTAAAGGAAATTGAGGTATCATTCTTATCTGTTGAAAATTAGGCATAATTGAAAATGTATACCAGCCTTTCTCATATCCTCACTGTCAACTTGTCTAAGCCTTCACCATATCAGACCTGGACTACTGCAACAGTTAATGTTTGCCCTCTATACTCCATTCTCCAGATAGCAACCAGAGTGGTTTTTTCAAGCATAAGTTAATTTATATAATGCTCCTATTTAAAATACTTCACTGTATTTCCCTTGTAGATGGATTGATAATAAAAATCAATTATTGTGGCCTACAAAAATAACTTTAAAATGCAGTAATTTTTCTTTTTTAATTCAGTGGCCAGAGCGTATTTATCAGAGTCAATATGGAGTTACTGCTGTGGATTTTTCAATTGGCTCACCTAACCTTTTAGCTGTTGGTTATTACAACGGCTCCATTGCCATTTATAATGTACAGAGTAACAGCACCATTCCAGTTCTGGATAGTAGGTGAGAATCCAAAATGTTATTTCAGACTTTGTTTAAAGAGAAATAGAAATTGACTTTAAAATATTAGTTTTGAGTGGGTGTTTATATTGTTATTGTGAGTAATACCATTATTTCATTATTTTTTAATACAAGGGGACTTCAAACAGTTAGTGGGAAAATGGAAAATGGAATGGATAAACATTAAAATCAGTTCTAGGAAGAAAGCACCCCATTAATCTGGTAGAAAAAGTCAATAATCTGAGAAGTTATGTTAATCTTTAAGAATAATTTAAAATCTCAACTGTAGTAGATAATAAAGCCCGTGGGCAATCTTGAAACAGAGGAATAAAATTAATTGTTTACTTGAATAAGATTTAAATGACTGATGTATTTGCACCATGAGAAAATAATCTCATCAGCAAACCATGATACTCTAGGGAATTGTCATTATCTCTTATACTCTAAGGCCTTTAGAAATTAGTATAATGATTCTATATTTAGTTCTTTCCCTGTTTTAGTGAATCTCTTCAAAAACATTTGGGACCTATATGGCAAATACAGTGGATAGAACAAGATCGAGGAACAACTGGTGATGACAAAAGAGAAATATTAGTTTCAATATCAGCAGATGGAAGAATCTCCAAATGGGTTATACGAAAAGGACTGGACTGTCATGGTAAAAAGAAAAAAAAAAAGTATATATATATATATATGTATTGTTGTTTTGTTTTTGTTAAGTGCCTTCGAGTTGGTTCTGACACATAGCTACTTTGTATATGGGTCAAGCGGACCTTGCAGTCCAGTGCTTACCCTACAGCACCACACCAGGAACTGAGCAAATACCATAACTAGATATTTAGAAAAAGAGTGACCAAGTCCAGTTTTTTCTTAATAGCTAAAAGAAAAATTGTTACCTTTTACAAATAGGTCCTTTGAAATTTCCCATTGCAATAGAAAGTTCTTTATCTTTCTATTGCATGTGGGAAATTAAAATTTCAATAGATAATAAGAAAAAACTAGGCCAGTCTACTCTTTTTCTAAGTATATAGTTGGTATTTGCTCAGTTTTATCCAATCATATGAAAAATTGGTAAAAATTATAATTAAACACAAACAACACACATAATGTTTGTAGTACTTCATGTTGTAAGTAATGCTACAGATATTTTTTTCTTTAAATATAGATTTGATGCGATTGAGGAGAACTACTACTAGCAGCAACAAAAAAGGAGGGGAAAAGGAAAAGAAAGGTGAAGCTTTTATATCTCGACAGGCTCCTGGATTGTGTTTTGCTTTTCATCCCAAGGTAAATTATGTCAATCCATGATTTACTATTGCATATAGCAACTTCTAGCAGATGAAGTTTATTAAGATATAAAATGAGAAAAAGGTTAGCATGCTAAGGAATAATAACATTGATAAGCTAAAAATAAACATAGAGCCTAGTTGCCAACCCAAGGCACAATGGCACATTTCAGTTCTGTTTGTTTTATCTGCTTTTCCAGATAGAGGACAAGTAGTATACTTCTGAGGAACTATGGAATGATTCTCTTTACAGCTGTATGCTTAACTTGAGTGCCTCGCCTTGTTCCTCTCGGACTGTCTGCTGCTCTATCATACTTACTGAAACCAAATCCACTAAAATGGAATGGGGACTCAGGATTTGAATGGTGACTCTTAGGATTTGAGGGTTCCAGAAGATTTCATGCTTATCGAGGCCAGGATCAAAACATAGCACAATTTAAAACATTTTACTTTTTCTAATTATTTTTATATTGAGAGGTTTGGAGCCATAAAAATCATTTACTGTGACAGATTTCTAAGAAAACATATCCTGTATGTTTTTTGTAATATGTAGTATGGTAATTTCTTTAGTGAATACCAGCTAATTGGTAGTGGTCAGTGGTCATGTACCGTGGAGTTGGTTCTGACTCATACCAACCCTGCATAGGGTTTCCAAGGTTGTAAATCTTTCCAGGAGCAGCAAGCCTCATCTTTCTCCTGCAGAACAACTGGTAATTTCAAACTGCTGACCTTGAGGTTAGCAGCCCGAGTCGTAACTGCGACATTGCCAGAACTCCTTACCACCTAACAATACACCCCAAAATCCAAGTTCCTTCTCTGTTCTATCATTAAATGATATGTCTTATAGTATTTCTTCCAATCCACGCCACTATCACTATTGTTGTTCAGGCCTTTATTATTGTTGTTAAGCACCGTCCTGTTGGTTCTGACTCATAGTGACCCTGTATAGGGTTTTTGCCAACCTTGTGGTTCAAACCAACCTTGCAGTCCAGAGCATTAACCTGCAGTGCCATGCCAGGACTCCTGTATTACTCTTGTTGTCAGGTGCCATCGAGTCGGAACCGACTCATAGCGACCCCATGCGCAGCAGAACAAAACAATGTCCGATCCTGGGCCAACCCCACCACGGCTGCCACACTTGAGTCCATCAATGTATTACTCTAGCCATCTTCTAATTGGCTTCATTCTCAAATTCCTGTAATCTGCCTTTCATCTTGACTGTAAGAAAGTAGATTTTAGCATCCCTAGAGGATATTTGGCAATATCTGGAGATATTTTTGGTTGCTTCACCTGGGAAATGAGGAGTACTGTTATCTAACAGGCAGTTTCCTAGAATGCTGTAGTAGATGTTGTTAGATACCATCTAGGGAGTTCCAATTCATAGTGACCCTATGTACAACAGAATAAAAGACCATCCTCACAGTTATTGCCATGTGTGAGCCCATTGGTGCTGCCACTGTGTTGATCTATCTTGCTGGGGTCTTCCTTTTTTTTTTTTTTTTGTGGACCTTCCATTTTGCCAAGCATGATGTCCTTCTTCAGGGACTGATGCCTCCTTACATCATGTACAAAGAACAAGAGACCAAGTCTCCTGATCCTCACTTCCAAGGGGCATTCTGGTTGTACTTCTTCCGAGAGAGATTTGTTTGTTCTTCTGGCAGTCCATGGTACTTTCAATACTTTCTCTAACACCGTAACTCAAACGCATCAATTCTTCTACAGTCTTCCTTACCCATCATCCAGCTTTCACATACATATGAGACAATTGAAAATACCATGGCTTGGTTCAGGTGCATCTTAGTCCTCAAAGTAACATCTTTGCTCTTGGTCAATTTAAAAAGAGGTCTTTTGAATAGATTTGCCCAATGCAATACATTGTTTGGTCTTTTGACTGATGCTTCCATGAGCGGTGATTATGGATCCAAACAAAACGAAGTCTTTGACAACTTCAGTCTTTTCTCAGTTTATCATGATATTGTTTATTGGTCCAAAAGGACTTTTGTTTCCTTTACACTGAGGTGCAATTCATACTGAAGGATGTAGTCTTTGATCTTCATCAGTAAGTATTTTAATTCTTCTTCATTTTTATCAAGCAAGA